TTTTACAGGTTCAGGTGCTGGGAGCAGTTAGCTTTGGAACAATCACAGGAGATCCAGGAGGTGGACTGCACTTTGCTACAAATAGAGGCTCACTTTCATCAGGGAGCAGATGATAGGATGGTAAGAATGATGATTGACAGCCTAAAATATGACTTGGTTCTACGGTGGGATCATTTTCTCCATTAACTGAAAACGTTCACATTTCGCCACTTCCTGAGGGGTATATTTAGAGACACAAAGTTACCTAAGCAGAATGATTTGTGTTTATCTTACCTTTTCCCAATTACAATTAGAACTCACCTTTTAGACTATAGGAGGATCACACTCACTGTGGATTTATTCGTTAGCAACAGTAAAACTGGCATCTCAGCACACAGCACATGGACAGGAAGAAGAATCTGGTAAACAAAGGTTTGAGTTGTGCCAGACTAGGGCTGTATGGCTTGGGGTAAATAATTTACCTTGTTTCCTTATCAGATTCCTTATCTACAGATAGGGAGATCACTCATTTTATACATCTTCTACTGCTCACCTGTACTGTTATGGTAGACTGGGATCCTGGCAGAAAGGATCAGCTTAAAGTTCTTCAGAGCCAAACTCCAATGCACTTGGATGGCAGGAACTCTGGTTATGGGCTGGTACTGCCTTAAATACCTGCTGCTGGGAATCTTCCTTGCTTTGGAAAACAGCCACATTCAGGGGCAGGAAGAGAAAAAGGAGCCATGAAAGGGGACCAAGAGGCTAAGAAAAATCCCAAGACTGCAGGATCATGGACAGCAAATAAGAGCCCCGTAAGACTGCAGAGGGTTCCGTGACAATGATGCCTGGTAATAGGAGATGGATGGTGATGTGTGGATGAACACAGACTGCAAAGGCTGTGTTCGAGAAACGTAGCTGTAAGAAGAAAGAAGAATGGCAAGTTGAGAGGGCAACAGGGTTAAGATTGGCCTTTTTGTCTAGACAGAAGAGACCCTATGTATGTTTGAGGGGAAAAGGGAGAGGCCTGTGCAAAGGGAAAGTTTGGGTGCTCTAGGGAGGGCTAGTTATATTGGTGCTGGGAGTGGAGACTGAAGTGACATAGGGGCGAGTACACAGGGCCTTGAGAGCAGTTTGTTGATGACTGATCGTTGGTGTTTGCATTGTGTAGTAAACATTGAGATGCTGTGTAGTATTGGGGTTAAGTGTGCAGACTCTAAGTTCTGTATAATTTGGGGCATCTATTAAGTCTCATTTTCCTCATGTGTAAAATAGCGGGAGTGATAATACCCATTTCTGTGGTGAGAATTGAATATTAATATGTGCAAAGCAATTAGAACAGTTCCTGGCTCATAGTGAATGCTTGAAATGTTAGATTTGGTAATAAAAAATAATAGTTATCTTTGAGAATTAATGATCAAAGTCAAGTCTCATTACACAGCAATATAAAATAATAAGGTAAAGGTGATTAAACTGATCCTTGACATATCTTGAGATGACTTTTTTTGAAATAGTACTGTATTTCAACTTCTGTTCTTCTTTGCTATTCCCCCCTCAAAAAAACTTCCTTGCAAATTAACCAAAACTTCTGGTTAGTCAAACCTTAAACACATAACATATTAAGTATCTGGGAGAACCTAACAGTAATTTTTAAATTAATATATTAAATATTACAGTAATGTTTTATAATTCTATACACTAAGTATACATAGTATAAAGTTAAAAAGTTGTTTTGCTAAATATGTTTGTAGTTATAATAGGAAGACACAATTTGCAGCAGCATTCCTCATGATTTTAAGAAATCTTTTTTTTTAATGAAGCCACCAGCATTCTGCTGCAGTGCTTTTAAAAGAAAGGTTGAAGGAGAAAAATCAGGGCATCTGTCCTCCCTTTAAGAAATGGAATTAGGCTGTGGGTGGCCACCAGATTGGGAGGGTTTGGGGGTGCTGTGTTGAGGCATTATGCAATCAGGCTAATTTCCTTATACTATTTGTCAAGTTAGAGAGAGGGGTAGAGGACAAAACCATGTCACTTGTCCCTGGGCATTAGACAAAACTGTGGTGCTTCCAAGAGGAAGCATGCTCCAAGATACTGCAGGGTCCATTCTCATTCCCTGACTGGGTCATGTAACTAACAATAGGAGAGTCAGCTGAAGTGGGGACCATTCTAGAAAATCTGGAACTCACTTTTGAAGGTCCAGAAATTCGTTGTTTCCTTCTGTTATTTATTTATAGTAAGCTACTCTTTTAAATCAAAGGTGAAGTTAGCTGACATTAACCAAATAATCTGAATTAATCACCTGTGGAGTTTCTATTCAGAAGAACATGGGTTGTTGACAAGTCTCAGAGAAAATGTTAAAACCCAGATATCACAGAAAAGCTTGTGTTCAAACCATCCTCCTCATCTTTTGTGGAGTATGGGATGTAGGAGATGTGAAATGGTAGGGTCTGAGGATAAAGGAACTCTGTTCTTGGCTTACATGAAATACATGATTAATCCACTGAATAATATCAGCACCTTGATTTGTGTGGTGTGAGAACCGGAGGCCAGAAGTGTAGCATGGTGTCTACGAGTATGTCCGGATCCAAATTTGGTCTCTATCACTTACTACGTGTGTGACCTTGGGCTAGTGACATAACTTTGTCATGCCTATACAGTATTTCCTAATTCCTAAAATGGGGTTAATAGTATTCGCCTCTGTTAAAGAAAATATTGATGATGCATATTTAAAGCACAGTAAGGCTGACTTTATTCAGAACCACTGCAATAGGTATAGAGGTCTTGCAGTGGGGGAAAGATAGGGCTCAACTCTAAATACAGCATGGGCAAGTGGGAATTTATAGCCAAGGAGTAGTGTGGGTGTCAGTGGATGGAAGATCACTAAGAGGAAACATCAGGAATAAGGAGAGATTCTGGCTAGACTGATTTAACAGGATTCTGAAAGAAGACAGGCCAGGGTAATCGGACATCACCTTGGGGATGGTGTAGGATGAGGAACCTGATCAGATATCCAGGATGCGGGTTCTTGCTAAAAACTGAAATTTACAAGGAGGTGTACAGATGGGCCTAGCAGAAAATTCAGAAGCCTGACTAAAGTTTGGCCAAGCAGAGAATCTTATCACCTCATAGAGTTGTGGGAATTTCAGGAAACACATGCAGTAGCCTCAGCTTGGTGCTTGATACAGAATAAGTGCTCAACAAATTTTACCTATTCACGTCAAAGCACTTTAAAGTAGACGAACATTTCACTTTCAGACCCTTTTAATGGGGCAAACAGGGGCAGGGGCAGCAGTCTCTAAAGAGTGGAGATGGAGAAAACTGCATTTAACCATCTCCTGCCAGTAAGAGCTCAGCTGGCGGCCGGAAGCAGAGGTGAGCACGAGCGTGTGTTGGGGGAGATTCTGGGGAGTGCCGGAGTCCCCTTTCCCCACTCCAGGGCACGCTCACGATCTCAGACGGTTGCTAAACGGTCTCCCAAGTACTCAGCATAACCTTTCAACGAACGCCAAGCAAACACTTAAAGAACACCGGGAGCACACCACACATGTCCGTGTCGCATCTCCCCGTGCCAGGCCCCGTTCTCCGCGGTTTACGTGCATCAGCTCACTCACAGGTATCCCACCCCACATCCCACAAAAGCAGCCCGCCCAAGGTCACGCAGCCTCCGAGGGATGGAGCCGCAGCCAGACCGAGCCCGCGCCTTGCGCCCCAGCTCGCCAGGAAGGGGCTCGGGTTAGACGCGCGAGGACTGCGGACGGCGGGCGGGGGGAGCGAGCGGCATCCCACACCGACCCCAAGCGGGAACGTTCAGGAATCCTCGTGCGCAGCCGCGGGGTGGGAGAGCCCCGGTCCGGCCTCGACACCGCCTTCCGCCGGGAAGGTCCCTAGCGCCGGGGAGTCGCGGGCGGACGAGGGGAGCGCGCACCGACGAGACCGCACCGCAGCGCAGGCGCACTCGCGGCCCGCACTCGCCCGCCGCCCAGGATGAGACGGAAGGCATGGAAAGTTCCAGCCCGTTCGAGAGCCGTAGGTAGCAGGCGCGCCGGCGGGGGCAGGGCAGCGAGGGGGCGTGCGGTCTCCGAGGGCCACTCCAGTCCGAGGCCGCGGCACCGCCCCCGCGCAGCTCCGGGACAACGGGCCGGGTCCGTTATAATAGGAAGACACAATTTGCAGCAGCATTCCTCATGATTTTAAGAAATCTTTTTTTTTAATGAAGCCACCAGCATTCTGCTGCAGTGCTTTTAAAAGAAAGGTTGAAGGAGAAAAATCAGGGCATCTGTCCTCCCTTTAAGAAATGGAATTAGGCTGTGGGTGGCCACCAGATTGGGAGGGTTTGGGGGTGCTGTGTTGAGGCATTATGCAATCAGGCTAATTTCCTTATACTATTTGTCAAGTTAGAGAGAGGGGTAGAGGACAAAACCATGTCACTTGTCCCTGGGCATTAGACAAAACTGTGGTGCTTCCAAGAGGAAGCATGCTCCAAGATACTGCAGGGTCCATTCTCATTCCCTGACTGGGTCATGTAACTAACAATAGGAGAGTCAGCTGAAGTGGGGACCATTCTAGAAAATCTGGAACTCACTTTTGAAGGTCCAGAAATTCGTTGTTTCCTTCTGTTATTTATTTATAGTAAGCTACTCTTTTAAATCAAAGGTGAAGTTAGCTGACATTAACCAAATAATCTGAATTAATCACCTGTGGAGTTTCTAGCGCCCGCCGGCCGCCCTGGAATGTCCGCGCTCAATAAAACGTTCCCCCCAAGCGTGTCTGTGCAGTTCTCTGTACCCTGGTCGCTTAAAGCCGCTTTCACGTTGAAAAAAAAAAAAATCTTTGACTTCTCTTTTTCTGACTTCAGCGAAAATCCTGCTCCAGGTGCCCTTAACCCAGTTTCATTCATCCAAGTTGTGGCCTTTCTTGCGCCTTCAGAAGACATTTTTCTCCCCCCGGCTTTTGATTGATCTTGAGGTAGGGGATTTCAAGTTGGAGGGATGATAAGCGAACCAGCAGTCCGCTCACTTCGGGTGATGGCGCGGCCAAGAACAGGGGCCAGCGGCAAGGAGGCAGCGCTTCGTCCTCTGTTCTGGGTCAGGTACTTCTCAAGTCGTCGCCGAAATCCCCGTTCTTCCGTGAATTCGGTAACGTAGAGTGTGGTGTATGCTCCCCCATCCCCAGATATTAAAAAAAAGAAAATTTTTTTTTTTTTTTTTTTTTTTTAAAGATGACTTCCGTGAATTCGGTAACGTAGAGTGTGGTGTATGCTCCCCCATCCCCAGATATTAAAAAAAAGAAAATTTTTTTTTTTTTTTTTTTGGTACTGCGTCTGAAGCATGGTTTCCCACATACAACATTAGAGGGTTGGACGCGTTTTATATTTGAATCAACTTTGGGTCAGTTTCAGGGTATACCAAGTTTGATTGAACTAAATAAAGCATGGGATCATGGTCCAGGCTCTACTGAAGAGCTAACAGTCACGGAGCATTAGGAGATTGTTAGGGACAGGACACCAGTGCCTCTTGATCAGGTCCAGAGAGAGTCGGGCCAGACGTGACATTGTGTCCCCAAGCCTGTTATCCCTGAATTTGGGAGAAGTTAAGATTGTATTGTTTAGTCTATTAAATATCCCCCGTTTTTGGTTCTCTTCCCTTCTTACCAGGATATGTAGTTTAATGAGATAGGAGCATTTAAAAAAAAGACATTATTAAGGATACATTTCAATTCAGTGGAAATTGTGTAAGCCCTTTCTTTAAACTATACTTTTTAGGAGTTGTAGAACTTGGAAAATGTGGTTACTGAAATTTCTTTTGTTTACCTTCCTTGTCTTAGGGAGGTAGCAGGTGATCACTAAAGAGGCAGGGTTTAGGCATAATATTTGCTCATTGCCTAAACATTTGAAATGAAGACTGCACTCTTTGTTTTTGGCATAGCTGCCAAGTACCTTGGTTAACATGGCTACAAGTTTATCAGTTAAGTGTATTTTCTTTACACACACTACTTCTATTTTTTTGTGTTCTGTAACAACCAGGATTCACAATCTTTGATTGTGGAGCATATATGTTTTATTCTAGTTCATATAAACCAAGTGCAGTTTGGTTAAAATAATAAATACCTCCCTTGAAATCCTTGCAAGAGGGCAAGGGCAAACAAGATCCTAGAAAGCAGATAATCAAGATGAATTCCCTGGAGGAGGAGGAGGTGGCCCCCCATAGATAAAAGGTTGTAACAATGATGAAGTAGTGTTGAGATTCTTGAGGTAAAGTAAGATTAAACAACGAAAACTCACTGTGTTGTTCAAAAACTTATCTTTGAGTAGGTTGTAAATGTGTAACAAACACTTCCAGATTTGTGATAATTTTGTTTACTTTCAATTTAGGAAAATTGGATTGTGAAATAGGATGGATACTTGGGGAGATAGGAATAAAAAAGTTAACACTAGGTGGAAAGTGCCACTGACTGTGGGCTTGTACACTTTTAGCAGGCCCTGGGGAAACCTGAGGCAGTTTGTCTTCTACATGCAGGCAGACCATAACAATTCTTCAATTCTTAGTTGGAAATTTTTCATGTTTTCTGAAACATATATCTCTCACATTGTGGCCCTTTAATGTGATCGTTCATTTCTCCCGCAAGTCATTTATGTGTCTTGGAATTGAGGAAGTACGCAGTGTTAGGCAACTTTTATAGCAGATATGGAAGTTGAAAGAGTGCAGTTTTTCCAGCCCTTTCTTGGATTTCCAGAGCTGTTTTCTTGTTTCTTTTCTGTGGTACTCTGTAAGCCTGAAGTACTTCCCTCCCCTTCCGCCTCCATTTTTTTTTTTTTGTCTATGACCCCTAGCTTGACTCCTTAAAATTGAGCTTACAGAGAGATTTTAAATTTAAAATATGGATATTGTGTTGAGGTTCTCACAGCATCTTGCACTGTAGCAAAGTCACTTGTGGGAATTCCCATTGAAAGATTTCAGTGTGTAGTGTGTAGAATAAGAAGTCTGTAGTGAATTATACAATTATATGTTAGTCAGTTCCTCAGAAGTTCCAATGCTATCTTTTTTTCATTTTGCAATTGGGAGTTGATTATCATGAGTTTGCTTTCGTTGTATTTCCAACGTTTTGTTGCATTTATGAATGTAGGTACCAGTCTTCCAAGAAGAAATTTATTTGCAGGTACTGTTTAGCTTGAATTGTAATGTGTATATAAAAATGTCATTTCTATTTTCTCCCTCCTTTTGCTTTAGCATGAAAAGTAGGTAAAAGTGTGGTTAAATTCTGAAATATGACACAGTTATGGATGTTGTGAAACCAGGCCTTTAAAGGTGATGACAAGCAGTCTGAAAAAGTACTTGCTTAGACCATATTAATAGTAGCATCTCCAGTAAAAAGATATTTTGAGAGTCCTGTTATACTTACATAGCATCAAAAGAGTTTTATTCACTTCTGGAAAACACAGTATTCAAAGGCTGTAATGTGGAAAGACATAGCTACAGAGGAAAGACCCAGGCTACAGATTTCTCAGGCAGTCTCATCTCAGAATGAGGAAGACCTTTTCTAACAACTGAAAAAGAAATGGATGGCCTGTGAGCTGGTGAGTTCTCTACCTCTACTGCATCTGGGAACATTCAGGTAGACAGGAGAAGTGTGAGTTACTTGGTGGGTGAGCTCTGACACTGATTCGAGTCCCCTCTCTGGAGAGTCTGGGAAAATGGTTGATGTCCTTTGATTTCACTTTGTAATTAGATTTTGAAAACTGGTACTTAATTTCAGTTAGGTAAAGGACTGAATTGCCAGTACATGAATAATAAAGCCACATACTGTGTAGAGGAGCTTAGGAAAAGTTGTGAAAACTTAGTAGAAGATTTTTATGCCTGGGGTGGGTACAGGAAGAGGAATTTTGAGAAGAAAAATCTGCAGTAAATTTAGGAACATTTTATCATGTCTTATTCGATTTACCCAGATGATAATTACAGCTGGCATATTCAGACTTGTGAAAACCATAGGAGGATGTTTTCCCTGAAATTTTCTTATTGCCAGTCAGGAATTTTTACATGAATTAAAGGTTAATGATTTAGATAATAACTAGCTTAATTGCTAAGTGAATGCATGTACAGTAAAATTGCACTTATATATCTATTCTCTTGTATATGTTTTCCTAATAGAAATAAAATAGATAGCTACCATAGAAATCCCAAGTTCTTTCTCATTAAAACATTTATTTTTATATTCAGTATTCCCCATTTATTTTTGATTTCATTGAAGAGCAGATTATATTTTATATTTTAAGATAACTCATTGAAATAGTTCTTTGTAGGTAGTTTTCTGATGTAATCTGCATTTAGCGTACAGCCTGGTTTTATTTAGATATAGAAAAGTGTAGTGATAATCTAGTTCCTAAAACATAGAAAGCATAGGTTTTCTGGTTGTGCGGTGAAGAATCTCTTTTCTGTTTCTCTTCACTCAAGACTTTTTGATTAGAAAACCTGGCAGAAGTTTTGTATTTGTTTTAGATTACTATCTAAGTTAGGATATTCTGAAAGGAATACCTACTAAATGTTTGCATTTTAGATACTTTTGGAGGCATAGGGTGCTAATGAACTCATATACGGGTCTGGCCAACCCTAGGTCATTGTAGCTTGGCTTGCTTGGCAACATTTGGTAACTAGGAAATAGTGACATTTCTGCTGTTGGTGGGAGACATCAGTTCAAATGGAAACATCAACGTCTAGCTGTCAGATGGCAATGTTAGTCTTTTTCCTCTCATGGGCCCTCCCTGAACAGCTTAGTTTATATCTTTAGTAATCTCTCTTTGTGTTTTGTCTGCTTGAAACCAGACAACTAAAAATAGTTATCCAGTAATGAAAGACTTGAGCCTTGTGGACAATGTTATACTTTTATGTGGTATTACAGTTTTTTTGGATTACAGCTTATTACCGCAGCAAGTGATTGAAGAAGGAGTCCTGTTCCTGCCCCTTAGCTACAGCTAAGGTACAGGAGTGGCTTGGGGGTAAGGAGTCCTTCCTCACCAGATGTGGTTTGTATGTGTGGAGACTGCTTGTCAGAAGTTGACATTTTGCACTGATTTTTTTTTCTTAATTGCTGTTCATGATGCATACATTCAATACTGTTTATAGGTTTTAAAAATTCGGTTATGTCTAGTATTTATATGCAGGATGCTCTTGGATGTTCTCACCTTTTTGATTATAAAATTACTTTAAGAAAATTCAAAGTTTGAGAGCAGTGAGGGACAAATTCTTTTTTTTTTTTTTTTCCCTTTTTGTCTTTTTTCGTGACCGGCAACGGATCGCAACCCTCAGTGTTGCGCCCGTACCGGACCGGGACCGGCTACGGGATCGCAACCCCCAGTGTTGCTCCCGCCCCTCGCTCAGCCAGTGAGCGGCCGGTCTGTATGTGGGATCCGAACCCTCGGCGGGAGCGCCACCGCACTTCCCAAGCGGCGCACTATAGCAGTGCGCCACCGGGCCGGCCCAGTGAGGGACAAATTCTAAAGTAATGTTTTTCATCTAGTGCCTTTGCTGTGTTCGTAGTGCAGGTATAACTCATCTAAGAGACCTGGAATACGGAAGGAAGGGTAGGGAGGGGATGAGGAAATATTGTGGTGTGATTACTCATATTTTACATAAATCTGTTGCAATTTAATTATCAAACTTTTTCTAGTTCACTTAGTTATTGGCTTTGCATTAGAATTCATTTCTAAGATTCTCATGAGTTTATCTGTTTGAGAGAAGGAGTATGTACTTTTAGTGGAAGACAGATATTATCAACACATGTTGTTATCTCTTATTCAGGGGAATCATATTAGAGAAATTAGTCAGATAAAGGTCTGGTACGTTCCCAATTGATCTAAAGGAAAAACTATGCTCAGGAGTTTGGAAAAGGACAGTTAATCTTGTTGTTCTTAATTTAGAGCAGGGCTGGTGAACTATGGTTCATAGGCCAGATCTGACCTGCCACCTGTGTTTTTATGGCCTCTGAGCTAAGAAAGGATTTTACAGTTAAATAGTTGGAAAAAAAAATCAAAGAAGAACAATATTTTATGACACGTGGAAATTATTATTCAAATTTCGGAATCCATAAATAAAGTTGCATTGGAATATATAACCCTGTTCTTTTGTTTATATTTGTTATCTGG